CGAGTGCTTGTGGATGTAAAGCAGTCCCCTGCAATACGTAGCTTGTGAAAAGTATAGTATACAGATGACATCTTTCACGGGATTCCAGACGAAATAGTAGAACAGTTCTGTATAATATAGCTATTTTTTAAATAAAATATTCATTTAATTAGTACCTCACATGCTTGAAAAAAGTGTGACGAGCGAATTTAAGCTTCCCTTTGCCAGGAAGTTCCAGGCCTGAAATGTTTCTGCCTTTGGAAACTTCTTTATATCATCGCTATGCAAAAATATCCTCTATAAAGAAATCTTCGACGTGTACAAATCTTCGACGTGTACAAATCTTCGACGTGTACAAATCTTCGACGTGTACAAATCTTCGACGTGTACAAATCTTCGACGTGTACAAATCTTCGACGTGTACAAATCTTCGACGTGTACAAATCTTCGACGTCTACAAATCTTCGACGTCTACAAATCTTCGACGTGTACAAATCTTCGACGTGTACAAATCTTCGACGTCTACAAATCTTCGACGTCTACAAATCTTCGACGTCTACAAATCTTCGACGTCTACAAATCTTCGACGTCTACAAATCTTCGACGTCTACAAATCTTCGACGTCTACAAATCTTCGACGTCTACAAATCTTCGACGTCTACAAATCTTCGACGTCTACAAATCTTCGACGTGTACAAATCTTCGACGTCTACAAATCTTCGACGTCTACAAATCTTCGACGTCTACAAATCTTCGACGTGTACAAATCTTCGACGTGTACAAATCTTCGACGTGTACAAATCTTCGACGTCTACAAATCTTCGACGTCTACAAATCTTCGACGTCTACAAATCTTCGACGTCTACAAATCTTCGACGTCTACAAATCTTCGACGTCTACAAATCTTCGACGTCTACAAATCTTCGACGTCTACAAATCTTCGACGTCTACAAATCTTCGACGTCTACAAATCTTCGACGTCTACAAATCTTCGACGTCTACAAATCTTCGACGTCTACAAATCTTCGACGTCTACAAATCTTCGACGTCTACAAATCTTCGACGTCTACAAATCTTCGACGTCTACAAATCTTCGACGTCTACAAATCTTCGACGTGTACAAATCTTCGACGTGTACAAATCTTCGACGTGTACAAATCTTCGACGTCTACAAATCTTCGACGTCTACAAATCTTCGACGTCTACAAATCTTCGACGTCTACAAATCTTCGACGTCTACAAATCTTCGACGTCTACAAATCTTCGACGTCTACAAATCTTCGACGTCTACAAATCTTCGACGTCTACAAATCTTCGACGTCTACAAATCTTCGACGTCTACAAATCTTCGACGTCTACAAATCTTCGACGTGTACAAATCTTCGACGTCTACAAATCTTCGACGTCTACAAATCTTCGACGTCTACAAATCTTCGACGTGTACAAATCTTCGACGAGTACAAATCTTCGACGTGTACAAATCTTCGACGTCTACAAATCTTCGACGTCTACAAATCTTCGACGTCTACAAATCTTCGACGTCTACAAATCTTCGACGTCTACAAATCTTCGACGTCTACAAATCTTCGACGTCTACAAATCTTCGACGTCTACAAATCTTCGACGTGTACAAATCTTCGACGTCTACAAATCTTCGACGTCTACAAATCTTCGACGTCTACAAATCTTCGACGTCTACAAATCTTCGACGTCTACAAATCTTCGACGTCTACAAATCTTCGACGTCTACAAATCTTCGACGTCTACAAATCTTCGACGTGTACAAATCTTCGACGTCTACAAATCTTCGACGTCTACAAATCTTCGACGTCTACAAATCTTCGACGTCTACAAATCTTCGACGTCTACAAATCTTCGACGTCTACAAATCTTCGACGTCTACAAATCTTCGACGTCTACAAATCTTCGCTATATACAAATCTTCGCTATATACAAATCTTCGCTATATACAAATCTTCGCTATATACAAATCTTCGCTATATACAAATCTTCGCTATATACAAATCTTCGCTATATACAAATCTTCGCTATATACAAATCTTCGCTATATACAAATCTTCGCTATACACAAATCTGAATATTCCCTATACCCATATCCTTCTGACAATTATGTTATCAAAACGAGGCTCCATGTAGCATGAAAGAGTAAGCTGCGACCACTCAGACAGCTTTCTAACGCTGAGTCGGAATACGCCAAAGATATATGTTGTATCTTTTCACAGAAACCGTACTCTGACACCAGACCGCTCCCAGAATTCGAAGCAAGAGAGCGTATAAGCAAAAACTTCACCGCAAATAAAGATACGAAAAAAAAAAAAAGAAAACTCCATTGTAGTATTAAGCGAGGCATCTCAACTTTTGAGCTGCGCACCCGCCGTACCAAATGCAGACGGAAAACTCCGGGCTGAGTAAGCGAGAGCGCGCTTTGACAAAAGTCGATGCGCAGTTCGCCAAGTATAGTTGCGGCGGGCGAGTCCTCTGGCACCGGCAAAAAGACGGCGCCACGCAGAGTGCGCAGCACTGGGATTCATTTCATGGTTCGTTGAGGTTCCGAACCCCGGGTCCATTCTCTAGCCCGCACCAAGACCGAAACAAAAGGAAAATAAAGAAAGTCAAATGTCACAGGCTTTTTGAAGAGAGAGAGAAAGACATCGCGCCAAATCACAAAACAAGTCGAACGTAAATAGAAGGGAGGCTTAGCTCAAACTCCACCAGAAGTTGCGGCTACAGTGCGCCCAGATTTCAGAGTACTCCCATCTGCTCGATCTTGTAGGCCGTGTTTGGAGTACAAGCTACGAGCAGGTGACGAAAGCGCTTAACGTCTGCAAGCGTTCCGTCTCTTTCCTCCTAACCACGCGAAAACGGAACGCGTTTGCACTTGCCCAGGGCGTATCCGCCATTAAAGGAGCACCGAACCTAGGAATATTCTTTTCTCAAAATTAAAAATCTCAAAATAAATGTTCGTAAAAAAAAAAAAAAAAAAAAAAAAAAGCAGAATATTTTTGTTTTAATACAATTTGTTTCTATTTGCGGACGAAAAACAAATTTTATCCCTGTCAGACGATGATAGCGTAAGTCAAACCTCACAAACCACATTGAGGGAGTTCAGTCGTGGTGTCTGGTAGCGTTTTTAAGCGCCAAAAAGGATTCTAACTTTGGGTATTACGCTTGGGTGCGTAAGGCGCCACAAAAAGACGATCTCACGATCCACCTTAGTGCCCCTTTAAACTGCAAGAGCTCTTCAAGGTTTGAGTTGCTCGCCCTCTTCAATCTATGCTCTCTGCGCGGCGACCGGTCGTTGTGGCTTTGAAAGCGCTCTTTCGCGCTTGGGCAATTTCTGCGACCGCTGGGATATCTCGAGACCGAGATAGGGCTTGCGGAACGCCGGGCCTCGGGCACACTCGCGTCCGAGTCACACTGAGCGAACAAAGAACCAACGCTGCTCCAAGACATACGCAACAAACTTCGCCAACAACTTTTTTTCTTTTTTTTGCGCTGAAGTTAATCAATTGATTATTTGTACCGAGCGCAGTGTCGTACGCGAAGCTGAAGGGAACGACGGGAACTGACTGTACAAAACCGACTGTAGCAGACGAGAAGAGAGTGCAGGCAAGCAACTGCATTAGCCTCCTCTTATCTCTCTCCCTCTCTTCGGTGTCATGTGGTGACATTGAAGAGAACATTTGTTTCGAAATGAGACAACTCTCATGTAAGAACCGCCCTTAGCCAGGAGCAGAAGCATTTGGCATCAGTCGATTTACAGATGTTTGCGTCGTGGGTTTTTCCTGTGGACCCCTTTATTTGCGGAGATAGGATGGGGTGCAAACGTGTCTGATATCTGGTCGGGAACTAGCGGAGACAATAATGCCCATCTAGATCGCAACAGCCGATTGCGATTCTCGAAACAGTGACCGTTCGCACCTGGATAAGATATTCTTTACGCCGCTGCCGTATGATGTGCGGCGTGTTTCAGGGAGCAGTATTGACGCAGCATTAATCTTCAAGTTTTCGAGGGAAGCTCGCGATGTTTCATTTAAACCATGTTGAATTAACCTGAGACTGGGGTAGAGAAGAAACATCAAAACGTAGAAGCGAGAGAAAATAGACAGGACAATGTCACAAAACCTCGCCTGCACCCTTACGATTTTTTCTGCTTCATTTAAGTTTGTGCACCACTTGCAACAAAAAAAAAAAAAAAAAACCGATTTGACAAACAAGTAGATGGGAGTGGCTTACACGAACATCTAGAAAGCTGAGTGCAAGATATGATTCATATTAAATTTTACCTCACGACTGCAATTTTTTTATTCCTACTGCTCCATTTACCCTCCCCGAAGAAATCCGAAGTTATGATTGAGTACATGTAAACTCGAGAGCATATAAGTCACAGGTTCACGTTTAAACGTTATGGAGGTAGCGCTTATTTTCAAGCTTTTCACGAGGGAGTGAGAGATGACGGAAAGACGGAGAGGTTTACCGGAAACAGCTTGCTCACCATTCTAAAGAATTAAAGTAGTTTCAGATTGTGCAAAAAAACTAAATATTTTATCGACGTCTAGTCACCCGCAGTGGGCTTGCCCGAATACTGCTCTAAATTATATGATGCAGGGTTTTATTTGCGGAAAATTTTTAAGTAAGAAGAACCAAACATGCTGATACTTACTATCATGAAAACCTATCTCTAAAAGCAACATTCCATACCGTGAACAAAATGTTTTATGAAAAATCTACACCATTTTAAAGGCATATTAACGCAGGTACCTTTGAATGTACTTAATTTTTGTAAAGTAACAAAAAGCAATGACGTTACTTTTTTGCACTAACTTAACAAGGTACACATTTAACCACTGTAACAGGGTTACTTTTTTCCCCCGAGTAACTAACTGACTGTAACTCGGTCACTTTTTAGCAGTAGCGTGCCCATCACTGCTCTTGACTCTTTCGAGAGACTTCCCATCGTGTCTCGACTCGCAAGAAGGCAGAAAAACGTAAAAACTTACGTTGGGTTCTTGTTGCAGAGACCTATGGTGCTCGTGGCTCGGTAACAGCGATCTCTTGGCTATCCGCCGATGCCGCAAGTGGTGGTGGTCTCCGAAAACCTGCGAGAGAACCAACACCATTGACCACGGCACGCACGCGCAAAAGTCATAAAAATATAACTCAAAACATTGCACACAAAGCCACGTTTCCGAACCCTCGATTTCGCGGGGATTCATTGAAAGTGCGATTCGTTACACGCACGACAAAACATGACACCACCTCGATCATGTTGACCAAGACCATGGTGACTAAGACTGGGGGTGCTCAGAAAGTGTTACAAATGAACTGGGCACGTGTTGTGTGTGTGTGTGTCGTCACGTGACGTCATGAGATCACATGACTGATGTTACACGTTGTCGTAGTGCCACGTGATAGGACATGTGACGTCACGACACTTCGTAACGGTTTTTCGTGACGGGTTTTGTCGTTAGATGCGGCTACATTCTGGATTTCCATCGAAGACACGCGTACAGTTCACGGTCATCAATGATCACGAGTCCACCTTAACAAGTGTCTCCCCTCTGGTGTTCCGCAAGAGTCCGTTCTCGGACCTCTCCTTTTTTTAATATTTATCCTTCCACCATTTCCTCTAAAATACACCCTTTCGCAGACGACTGCGTCGTCTATAACAAAGTAACATGTGTGCATGATCACAACCAGCTACAAGACGACCTTCTAAAAATTCACCAATGGTGCAACACCTGGCTGATGACACTAAACAAATCCAAATGTAAATTAATCCGCTTCACTAGAAAGAAATATATCTTATATCATCAGTACTTCCTCGACTCTGACCTAATCGAAACCGTTTCAATGTATAAATATCTTGGTGTAAAACTAACATCAGACCTCTCATGCAATAACCACATTGAAGCCATACATGCATGCTGACTCATCGAGAACTCTAGGCTTCATCCGACGTAACTTGCGCAGTGCTCCTCCACTCGTCCACAAAATGGCGTACGACACGTTCATCAAACCAAAATTAGAATATGCAGCTTCCATCTGGAGTCCCCATCATGGCCTACCTCATCAACCACCTGGAAGCAGTGCGAAACCGGGCCGCTCGTTTCATCTTGACCACCTACGATTTTTCTGTCGGTGTATTCGCGTTAAAAAGTCAACTAACCTTGTCTTTTTTGCAGCTCCGCAGGAAACTCTCTCGCCTCTGTCTTGTTCATAAAGTCTACTATCATTGCCCCGACCTCAAGAACTATTTGTTATCACCTCCTGACAGAACATCTTCTCGTCTTAACAACTCCTGCACAATCAAACCTGTTTCCGGTTCCACAAACGCATTCAATCAGTCTTTCCTTCCTCAAGCCATCTCCGACTGGAACAGCGTATACCATCCTCCATCGTCACCATCGTGGACCCAGAAGTATTTCTGTCAAGCTTACGGATTCATTTTTCTCGTTATTAGTATTTTTTTGCCAGTATGTACGATTAATGAGCTTGACCTTGATGTATTAATTAGCTTTTCTTGTTTGTATAACATGTGTATATCCCCCCCCCCCCCTTTATGTAATGCCCTAACCAGGCCCTTAAGGCCTGGTTAGGTAATAAATAAATGAAATTGAGTTTTTTGCGTTAGGTAATAATGTGACAAATTCGCAAAGGAAACCAGAAAAATTAAAGTGCATCATTTGCACGCAGTGTTTCAAAAATTTAGTTTTCTAGTCTTGTTTTTTTTTTACGTTTTTTTTTTTTCCTAATTTAATCGGAATTCTCAAAATTCTGCCTTTACAGACTCTGCCCTTGTTTCGAGTGATACGTCACATATCGAAATTCGAGGCACATACGGTTACACCGCAGAACATGCGCTGCATGCTTGAGACTGCAACATAGCTTGCTAATGAAAACTTACTCCCTTACCCTCCGGACAAACCGCATATAAAAATATACGAAAAGAAAGAAAAGACGATGATACGTTAGAACCGCATCTACGCTCGAAATATTACGGAATATGATCCCAGCACGGCCGCACGCCCCATTCAAACGTTGTATACTTATAGTAATTAAAAAGCTTGAAGTTTCAAGGAAAGTTACGTCAGAGTGGTTGGTTTCAGCAGGTGGAATTTCAAAGCGCAGCGAGTTTCTGTTTACCGGAACACAAATAAACAAAAGTAAGCGGAACGAATGCACTTCGCACTTAAATTCTGGGCTATCCAAAATAAACATCTTTTCGCAATACCCACACTTTCCGGCGCGCTATCTCTACAAACAAAGATTTCCCATTTTCCTGCGCTCTCCAGTGAAGCGATCGACGTCAAATGCTGCAGAGGTGCCAAATCGAGCAGGCAGTCTAAGAAACACAGTATTTTCAGCGATATCTTCTTTCATTCAACTAGCGCGATTTTCCCCAGCATTCAAATCACACCCTCAAACCATCTCCAGCAACCCGTGATGAAGATATGATGAACAGTTCATGTTTGACCCCACAAAAGGTGCTTCGTCAAGAGTGCCGTTTGTAGATAATTACGAAGACTCCGCGGAGCTAAGGCAAAAGACGGAGACCAGAGACACAAACTATCCAACAGAACCGAAAATGTATTCAAGGAGCGAATTCTAGTTGGAACGCGGTATAAAGAGGCTTCAAATCGAAATCGAATCGAAGGGCCGCGGATTACAAAACATCTGACGCAATACAAAGAAAAAGTGAACGGCTTTTGACCCGAAGAACTCGAGATGGCCAAGGTGACGACACGGTCGCCGAACTTCTCATATTTTTGTTCTTCCTCCTCGACACCATCTCGCGGTTTTAGTTGAGAGGCGCGCCATTCGCGCCGCAATCAATTACGCTGCAAATTCGCTAACGACTGAGGATCCCATTTAATTGCCAAATTTAGACACATTTGCAGAGAGGAGCTTCTATGTACTTCATTTAAGCTTTTTTGTTTTCCCTTTTAAAATTGCTAGCAGAACTCAACGAGATCATTAATCAATCGCGCGTGCAGAGCGTATAGATCATCGTTCGAAGCGAAGTCACGAAGAATAAGCGGTCATGATACAGGTTAGGAGCACAATAAAAATACGCACTTAAATCGAAAAAAAAAAAAAAAAAAGAGAGTAAAGGTAAAACAGGCATAAAGCATGTGTTCGAGGATTTTAAATTCTAATCCCCGCGCTCATGGCGACCTACATCTTTCTTGTCGGTGCGCTTTATGAAAGGCTAAAACGGTATCTTTTTAATTTTGAAATGCAGTTTTAAATGTCCATAAAATAGAGGTATCTCACGGTCCCGAATTGCCCGTTCGATATTCGTTGGCAAAGGAATGTTGTTCTATGTCATTGAAACAACACTCGACAGCCGCGTGAGAGAATTAAGCTGCCTTATGCGTTAATGCATGCGACAGAGAGTTTCGTTTGAGAGCTGCTTTTGTACGAGCGCTGGACGCATGAAAAAGCTAGATTTATCTGGCAGCTATATTTTTTTCTCACAGCGAGCTTTGTCCGACGGCGAGCTTTGTCAGACGGCGAGCTTTGTACGACGGCGAGCTTTGTACGACGGCGAGCTTTGTACGACGGCGAGCTTTGTACGACGGCGAGCTTTGTACGACGGCGAGCTTTGTACGACGGCGAGCTTTGTACGACGGCGAGCTTTGTACGACGGCGAGCTTTGTACGACGGCGAGCTTTGTACGACGGCGAGCTTTGTACGACGGCGAGCTTTGTCCGACGGCGAGCTTGTCCGACGGCGAGCTTTGTACGACATTTAACTTGCTCTAACAGTTAGTACTGCTACTGATTAACAAAATGCTATGCTCACAGACAGACTAAAAAAAGATCACAATTTGCGCATCGTTCATACGCTGCACGAAGTAGCCCTTATAAGATTTGGTTGTCGGGGGAACGGGAACGATGATTTCGGCGTTCGAAACCTACAGTCTTGGTAAAATAACAGTTAGCTTATATAAATGTAACTGCACATATATTATTTTAGCACATAAAGGGGTAAATTAGTAATGCTCCGCGAGGTATCGGACGTTTTTTTTACTGTAGTTCTTTACGTAAATACCAGTATCGCTTGACGCGGATTTTTGTTCGACGATGAATTGCAGCAACATGCCTCCATCTGAACATTTTTTCCCAAGGATATAAAACAGAAAAATGCACGTTAACTAACGCAGTCTTTTTTTTTTTTTTTCTTAATTCACAGGTGCGCTTGTCCGGGAGAGTCAACATGTGATAAAGATTTTGGAAAAATCAAAAGGATATTATACGCGCCAACTGAGCACACACTTTCGACGAACCACTTCCGACGGAATCGGTTCAACTGAATTCATTGTTCTGGCAGACGAAGCGAAGCTGCTCCTCGCAGGCGACCTTGGAAAAAAACGGCGCGGTATCGTTGACTTGGGAATAAGCGTCCACAGAGCAGGAGAATAACAGTCGAGAGTGACTCAGAAGGTCGCTGCCGTCGGCATCGGCTCACTGGCTCATTCCCAGAGTGTCGCCGCAAGCTGGCAACACGGCGATTTGCAAGACATATCACGGCGGTCGCTGACCTAAGGAAGAACGGCGGGTCAGGTGGTCTGGAATTCATTCTTTAAGACTTACGAGGAAAATATATCTGTCTTAAGTAGAGAATGCGTACTCCGAAAAGCAATAGAAGGATTTCATACCATATAAAACTGTTATCATTACTTCGCACTCCGCGAAGGAATATCCCGAAGTCAGCAAAGCGAATTTCACTAGTCGCTCTTAGCTCGGGAAGGAGAGAGACAAACAGGAAAAAGATACAGAGGGAGACGAGACTTCAAAAAGCCTCTCCCCCTTAAGAAAAAAAAAAAATGGCAGAAGGAAAAGAAAGGTGTTGCAAGGAAGGTCCTTCCCATGCACGAGCTATGGGAGGTGGAAACGCTTCAGGCACTTGAAGTTTTATGTCCCCGAAGCCCTACGATCTCAAAAGCCACACAACATTCCGATGACTCCGCACGTTTCCTCAGCTCCGCAGCCCGTTTAAGTAGTTCCAACTGGTAAAAGGAAATAAAACGAAATAAAAGCGAAACAAAAATAGTATAAAAAGAGATTGTTCTTCCCATTCAGTGTATTGATTTTGCAGTTTCAATAGGGCCTTT